AATCGGAGGGCTGGGGGGGCGCCCACCAGCAGTTGCAAACAGAAATAATATAAAAATTACACCAGCGAAGACCCCAAACAGAATGCATCGAATCATACCGGTTCAAGTTGGAATGTGTTGGATCCCAATCTGGCTTCGCCAGCAGATTTTGCGAAGAAGAATTAGGCATTGGGCGATATATTTCTTCGAAAGAAGAGTGGGTGGTGGGACTCAAGCATGTGGGAAGGTTTTTGGGAGGGTCCAGGGAGCATCTTTCAGAGGATCTTGCTGCAACACCATGCACGGAAAACACGCACATTTCTCCCGCAACTGCCACATTGTTGCCGCCTTTGCAAAACAGGATACCTGGCCTCTGCTGCAAACGTTCGCGGACGAAGTGCAAAAGAGCTTGGTGTTCGCTTCGGTTGGCTGTCGGACGGGAAGAAAACGAGAACTTTGCCGTGCATGTTTGGCAAGAAAGGTAGGAAGGGATTTGTCGGCTTACAAGGCAAACAAAAAGCTCTCTTAACACGGAACCATTCACGTTTTCTCTGCTGACCGAACGAAGAGCATTGTCCACAGGATTTTGTTGCCGCAGGAACCGCACAAAGAAAAAATGCAACTTCTCCACAATTTTCATAACATTACCGTTTTGCAAAACAGGATTCCTTGCCTCCGCTGTAGACATTGGAGGAAGAAGCACAACAGAGGTTGCTATATGGATCGGTTGGCTGTCGCACGGGAAAAAGTGTGAACTTTGCCGCGCAATTTTGGCGAAAAGAAGCGTGCACAGGGGTGCGTCGGCTTACAACACAAAACAAAAATCTTTCTTTGCACGGAACCACTCACGACTTTTCCGCAGACCGAACGAAGATCCATAGAATCTAGCTACCGCAGAAACCACGCACGGAAAAAAACACACACATTGCCGTTTTGCAGGACAGGATATGTGGCATCTGCCGTAAACGTTCGTGGAAGAAGCGCAAAACAGGTTGGTATACGGATCGGTTGGCTGTCGCACGGGAAAAAGTGTGAACTTTGCGGCGCAATTATGGCGAAAAGAAGAGCAAATGGGTTTGTCGGCTTACATCGCAAACACAAATCTTTCTTTACACGGAACCATTCACGGTGTTGTCCGCAGACCGAACGAAGATCCACAGGATCTTGCTGCCGCAGCAACCACGCACGGAAAAAACACGCAACGTTGCCGTTTTGCGAGACAGGATATGTGGCCTCTGCTGTAGACGTCTGTGGAAGAAGCGCAAAACAAGTTGGTATACAGATCGGTTGGCTGCCGCACCGGAAAAGGTAGGAACTTTGCCGCGCAAACTTGGCAAAAAGAAACGCAAAGGGGTTTGTCGGCTTACATCGCAAACACAAATCTTTCTTTACACGGAACCACTCACGACTTTTCCGCAGACCGAACGAAGATCCATAGAATCTAGCTACCGCAGAAACCACGCACGGAAAAAAACACACACATTGCCGTTTTGCAGGACAGGATATGTGGCATCTGCCGTAAACGTTCGTGGAAGAAGCGCAAAACAGGTTGGTATACGGATCGGTTGGCTGTCGCACGGGAAAAAGTGTGAACTTTGCGGCGCAATTTTTGGCGAAAAGAAGAGCAAATGGGTTTGTCGGCTTACATCGCAAACACAAATCTTTCTTTACACGGAACCACTCACGACTTTTCCGCAGACCGAACGAAGATCCATAGAATCTAGCTACCGCAGAAACCACGCACGGAAAAAACACACACATTGCCGTTTTGCAGGACAGGATATGTGGCATCTGCCGTAAACGTTCGTGGAAGAAGCGCAAAACAGGTTGAATTACGGATCGGTGGGCTGTCGCACGGGAAAAAGTGTGAACTTTGCGGCGCAATTATGGCGAAAAGAAGAGCAAATGGGTTTGTCGGCTTACATCGCAAACACAAATCTTTCTTTACACGGAACCATTCACGGTTTTGTCCGCAGACCGAACGAAGATCCACAGGATCTTGCTGCCGCAGCAACCACGCACGGAAAAACACGCAACATTGCCGTTTTGCGAGACAGGATATGTGGCCTCTGCGTAGACGTCTGTGGAAGAAGCGCAAAACAAGTTGGTATACAGATCGGTTGGCTGCCACACGGGAAAAGGTAGGAACTTTGCCGCGCAAACTTGGCAAAAAGAAACGCAAAGAGGTTTGTCGGCTTACGCAAACACAAATCTTTCTTTACACGGAACCATTCACGGTTTTGTCCGCAGACCGAACGAAGATCCACTGGATCTTGCTGCCGCAGCAACCACGCACGGAAAAAACACGCAACGTTGCCGTTTTGCGAGACAGGATATGTGGCCTCTAAAGACGTCTGTGGAAGAAGCGCAAAACAAGTTGGTATACAGATCGGTTGGCTGCCACACCGGAAAAGGTAGGAACTTTGCCGCGCAAACTTGGCAAAAAGAAACGCAAAGGGGTTTGTCGGCTTACATCGCAAACACAAATCTTTCTTTACACGGAACCACTCACGACTTTTCCGCAGACCGAACGAAGATCCATAGAATCTAGCTACCGCAGAAACCACGCACGGAAAAAAACACACACATTGCCGTTTTGCAGGACAGGATATGTGGCATCTGCCGTAAACGTTCGTGGAAGAAGCGCAAAACAGGTTGAATTACGGATCGGTGGGCTGTCGCACGGGAAAAAGTGTGAACTTTGCGGCGCAATTATGGCGAAAAGAAGAGCAAATGGGTTTGCCGGCTTACATCGCAAACACAAATCTTTCTTTACACGGAACCATTCACGGTTTTGTCCGCAGACCGAACGAAGATCCACTGGATCTTGCTGCCGCAGCAACCACGCACGGAAAAAACACGCAACGTTGCCGTTTTGCGAGACAGGATATGTGGCCTCTGCGTAGACGTCTGTGGAAGAAGCGCAAAACAAGTTGGTATACAGATCGGTTGGCTGCCACACGGGAAAAGGTAGGAACTTTGCCGCGCAAACTTGGCAAAAAGAAACGCAAAGAGGTTTGTCGGCTTACGCAAACACAAATCTTTCTTTACACGGAACCATTCACGGTTTTGTCCGCAGACCGAACGAAGATCCACTGGATCTTGCTGCCGCAGCAACCACGCACGGAAAAACACGCAACGTTGCCGTTTTGCGAGACAGGATATGTGGCCTCTAAAGACGTCTGTGGAAGAAGCGCAAAACAAGTTGGTATACAGATCGGTTGGCTGCCACACCGGAAAAGGTAGGAACTTTGCCCGCAAAGTTGGCAAAAAGAAACGCAAAGGGGTTTGTCGGCTTACATCGCAAACACAAATCTTTCTTTACACGGAACCACTCACGACTTTTCCGCAGACCGAACGAAGATCCATAGAATCTTGCTACCGCAGAAACCACGCACGGAAAAAGCACACACAACATTGCCGTTTTGCAGAACAGAATATGTGGCATCTGCCGCAAAGGTTTGTAGAAGAAGCGCAAAACAGGTTGGTATACGGATCGATTGGCTGTCGCACGGGAAAAAGTGTAAACTTTGCGGCGCAATTATGGCAAAAAGAAGAGCAAATGGGTTTGTCGGCTTACATCGCAAACACAAATCTTTCTTTACACGCAACCATTTACGGTTTTGTCTGCAGACCAAACAAAGATCCACAGAATCTTGCTGCCGCAGCAACTACGCACGGAAAAAACACGCAACGTTGCCGTTTTGCAAGACAGGATATGTGGTCTCTGCTGTAGCTGTCCTTCGCATAGCTTCGTGGTTAGAGGTTGGGGCACTCCGTTCTTTCAAATCAGTTGCTATTTACGCAAACGTCTTTCTATAAAAGCGAATCAAATAATGTAACTTCCAAATGAATCCAAAAGGAAATATATATCTGAAACTCAAGAGCACTCGGACGACACTCGTTTTATTCGCAGCGGTTGGTAGTCTCGCGGTGCCCTTGGTAGGGCGGATGCATGTTGATGCATCCAACCCCCCCGCGGCATGGAAGATTATTGTTCAAAGATCGTGCTTTGTATTGAGATGCGATTGTATGTCAATTGTGTTTGAACCTCCAGGTATGAATGCTTGCACTCGCACATGTCGCATGCAGAGAGTTCAAGCTCGACGCTATTTTCACACGGTGGGGTAGCAAGTACCGCACACGGCAGAAATCTTCGAACTGTCGGTCCTGTGAGACACAAGACTCTTTTCGTCCCCTCCGAAAGGAGAACTAGCCACTCTCAAGCCGTGCACGGCTCACAAACTGAACCTTAGTGAACGGCCTGCCAGTCGAAGACGAGCAAGACCGAGCAAACTGCGAAGCAGAGAGCCAAGACCCGAACCAGGTCTTATGCATAAAGCATACCTGAGTGTCCTCAAACTGAGGTCCAAAGCTTCCTGAGGTAGCACAACACGGATGCAATCTCTGCACTTTCCACGAATCAATTAGGGTGGAGAGGGTGGGTATTTCAAATAAAACTCTCGCCCGATTCAGGGCTTCCTGCCCCTTCGAGAGGTCAAGCTGCAACGGACGAATGTATTCTTCAACTGGTTTACAGCATGTATAAATCAGTTCAATAAAATGGGCAGTGCAAAAGGAAAGCCCTAAAACAACAAATCAAAATTGGACTTAGTTCTCTAAGTCATTTTGTCATGTTGTTTTTCTTTGAACAATAAAGCTCTATCTTCTGCAAGTGTTCAAAGGACGAAACTTATTGTTCAAAGATCGTGCTTTGTATTGAGATGCGATTGTATGTCAATTGTGTTTGAACCTCCAGGTATGAATGCTTGCACTCGCACATGTCGCATGCAGAGAGTTCAAGCTCGACGCTATTTTCACGCGGTGGGGTAGCAAGTACCGCACACGGCAGAAATCTTCGAACTGTCGGTCCTGTGAGACACAAGACTCTTTTCGTCCCCACTTCCAGGAGTCGCAGTGTTAAGCAGGCAGATTTGCAACCCTCTTCACAATTGATAACACCGCTTTGGTCGCCTCGACGGACTCGTCTCTGAATCCTAGCCTCTTGACTCTATCAAGTTTCATCCTCGATGGTTCATCAGCCAGATTGGCGGGTGATGCCACTCTCGCATACCACGGCAAGATGCCGTGGACATACTCCAGGAAATTGACTTCATCGATAAGAATCCCAGCAACCCCTTTCTTCGAAGAGCCGGCAACAGCCAGGTGCGAACAGCACCTGGCTGTTCGTATGATTCTGCGAAAGCAGCTGTCTTTTCGACCAAGAGCTTGAGACCGATCAAGACCCCGAACATTTCGAGCTCATATATGATGGTATGCTCATCTTGCAACGACATAGACTTGGCTTGCTGCTCTGAGATCGGCACGCTGAAGAAAGAGAGTGCCGAGCCTGACCCGGTGAGAAGGACGCCCCCAGGCCTCCAGTTCCTGACTCCGTTTCAAACGCCGCATCAGTCAGGATCATAAAAGTCCTGCATGAAACTTGTCCCACTAACCTCGGTTGGGCCATGTCAAGGAACTTACCAAACTCTTCAAGTCGTTCCTTGGCCATCGACGAAAGCTTCGACCTGCCAGTGTAGGCATGCTTTGTCACCTCCGTAAGGCACCTTCTTCCCAGCCTACCGAAAAACTGGGCTTGAGCAAACTGCAGCCTACCCCGCAGTTGTAGCGCTTCCTTCTGAGTCATGGTTCCCTTGTCCAGGAAACCTTTGATCGCAGCAGTAAGTTCCTTTCGTCGTTTCTCAGTGTTCCTGACCTTCAGAACTCCCGACCCTGTCTGGTCAAGCTCGAAAAGGACGCCAAGGGCCTCGAAGCTGGTGCCCCACTCTGTCGTCTTATCAGCTGACAGCTTCCAACCTAGCAGCCTCATAACTTCATCGAAAGCATGCGAACACGAACTCCTATCTCCTCCAAGAGCGAGCAGAACAAAATCGTCGAAATAATTCGTGGTCGGGATTCTGGCCCCTTTGACCAAGATAGTCCAAAGAGCTCTCGCCACTCTGAGGAAAAAATACACGGCCTTGGTTGAGCCGAAGGGCACAGCTAGTTGTTGGAACAACTTGGGCTTCTCCTCTGCCGGGTCGTAGACCGAGAGGTAAGAAAAATCTAAGCTTGTATCAGATACCGCCAATTGTCTGTAAGCTCCCTTCAGATCCGCCGTTTTCCCGTACAATGCGTTCAGGTTCTTCTTTCGGGCAGCACTCGAAAGCGTATTTATCAGCAATGCAATTTCATCGATAGAGTGCGTGATAGGCTTTTCAGAAACTGTGACCGTGTCGTTAATCAAACTTTTTTTCACACTCAGCGTCCTGTCCCGAAGGTCGCCTAGAGTAGGCCTAACAGGCTTACAGCCCGGAGACTCAAGGTCTCAGCCATGTCCGTGCCTAAGCACCAAAAGCAACACAGCAGATCACACCCGGTGTAGCACCCAAAAGCGATGTGATCATGCAGCAAACTACAGAAAGCGTAAAAGATTGCACTCGTGTGCACGACACACAAGTTCAGTAAGACTACAGAAGACACTACGAGAAAGGACCGGGCAACTCGTTACATCGCCAAGTCACAACGACTGTACAAATCACGGTACCTACTTGGAACGAGTACAGGCATTAGCCGGAAGTCACACAAAAGTCAAGCACTACAGAACTACAGCAAGGCGCAGCACTCTAGAGTTACGGCTCACACTACCGCAACGTGGTCTCACTCATCTCACTGGAAAGCAACGGCTGAAAACCCACCTGCCGTAGGAATTGCATCTCGCCATCACTCAAGTCTTCCGGAGTTTTCATATGAAACACCGCGAGTATCACACGAACGCCAGTCCAGTGAAGAGTGCCATGCAGCTCACGTGAGTCGAACTCCAGAAAAGGTGGAGTCACCGCATGAGCCAGCCCTGGCAGATCAGTGCCCGGATAGCAAACATCCCCTGAAGCAGCATTGTAGCACCATAATTCACCACCAGAGAAGCGGCTCAAGGGTATAAGCAAGTTGTTGCATGAAGGATGATTGTTGCCATCTCGATGTATGCCAGAATGCACATTCCGCGAAAGCGTAAGCGAAGTGAAGTGGTAATCCTCAGCCCCCTCGCCAAGCAGAACAGAGTGCACAATACGACAAAGCAGTGCAGTGACCCATGGCATCTGAAGCGCGTTGCTGCGTACGCCGACCAAGCCACCAGCCTGAAAAGCACCTGTGGTGAATGAGACTCCACCATCCAGAAGTGTTTGATGTCCACGTGGGCTGTCATGTGGAAGTAGGTCCCACAACGAAGATAGCTGATCCTCAAAGAAGCTGCCGTTAATCAAACTCGATGAGTAGTTGTCAATTGGTCGCAGCTTCTCCCCTTGTAGCAACGGAAAACGGGAGCTGACCAAACATCTTTTCGGCAATGACTCGAAATTACTCGAAATCGTAAGGTCCTGAGAGGTATCCACTCTGTACCTCTTCCATCGTCTTATCCCACAACAGCTGGTCGATTTCCTTATCACCCGACGACCCAGTCTTCACCCGGATCTGCTGTCTGATTTCATCAGACATCCCTATAAGTTGTTCAGTATCCAACCTAGCAGGCTTGAGCTTAGTATCCAGCACCCCAGTGATAGGAATGTCCCCCGTCAGCGTGGCTCCGTCGATGAGCTCCTGAACCACACCCATATCGTCATACCCAATGTCTCGCAGCATCTCTTCAAATAGCAAAATACGTTTGGGTTGAAGGATCTTCCTTCTGTGATCCGACATGCCAGCTTTCAGCTTGGTTTCCTCTGGTTCCAACTCTTTGGCTCTTCTGGCCCACTTCTCGATGTAATTCTTCCTCTGAGAACGAACCGGTCCCGGTTTGTGTACTAAGTCATGAACGAGGTCTCTGAGATCCTTGTTGCACTTGGATAACTTATGGTATGGGTGTCCAATCTTACCTGCTTTAGCAATGAATTCAATGGGATCCCATGGGATGCCCACTCGCAAAACTGAGGCTCCATTCAAGTTTTGCATTTCCTGCTGAAGTTGCGGGCTCCATTGCCCCCCTGACTGAGTACGCGACAGAAGCTGGGAATCCTGCGGGAGCAGCTTGAGCTCCGGCAACACGCGGGCGCCGTGCGGGACTCGCCAGTCCTGTTTGAGGCGTTTCGACCCGCCAAACGGGTCCTCAACCTGCGGTGGCAGAAGGACATAAACCACCAACTTCCACTCAGACACCACTTCCGGCATCGCCCCACGTGGCTGATTCATAGCCGAAACTCGCAGCGATTTGTTAGCTAAGGCCGGGCTGCGGCATGGCAGCTGTCGCTGAGTCAGGCCGGCAATGAACACCTCAGCTATCGCCGTGGCAAAAGCCGGCGGATAACCTGTCTGCGCCTCCGATCGCTGCTGCACCTTACGTCCCATAGGTGCCGCCTCCCTGCGCACAGTGAGGATTTCGGGCAAATTAGACCACACGAGGCTGCGCTGCTTGCTATGTGAGTCCCAAAGCTGCCAATCCACCTCCACCCTATGCGGAGGGTGCTGTGCTGATGGTAAACGATTGAAACTCTCCCAAAAGGGGGAAGACACCGAACCCTCAAGAACCATGGGCAGGTTGTTGCTCAAGCACCCTGCCATCACTGCCAGGACGAAAGCCGTAGTAACAGGCTCCGAGGCGTGTTTAGGAATACATATCATAACACCCGCGATCTTCCGGTTGTCAAGCCATGTTAGGACAGAGTCACACGCCTCCCGCGTCGACAAGTCCATCTGAAGCACTGGGGCCATGGCCGCCTTCTGCTTGAATCGATCCACTCCATAGGAAAAATAGCCCTGCTTAATCAAGGCCGAAGCCACACGAGCTTGACCTGCAAAGCACTGCAAAACGGCTCTGGCCGGCTCCTGAGTAGGCGGTGCCGGAGAAAAGTCCTCCGATACCACGGGAGGTGAGGGGAGCGCCCCCTCGCTCTCTGTGCGCTCCAAGGCAAAAGGCTCAGACGAAGCGCTCGGCATCGTAGGGGGATCCAAAACTGTAGGTTCTACAAAAATCGGAGAATCGTCGACATCTACCATCTCTGAAGCAGGGTCCACTCCCACTCCAACAGGCGGTGAGGTCGATGCCGTGACATCAGCTACAGAGACGGCACCGGAAACGGGTTCTTCCGAAGGTGTCATCTCCACGTCCGACGCCAAGGCGGCGGTGCAGGGCGACGGAGCCGCTAGTCACAGCTTCTTGGGCTTCAAGGGGCACTTCCCCACCGGGTGATCGCCACCGCACTTCTTAAAGATGCAGCAAGTGTGATCGCCCTTCTGGCAGTTCGCATCCGAACATGTCCCGAGGTTGAAACCGTAACAAACCTTGTTGCCTTTATTGTTCCATGCAGATGCTCCCTGGAAGCGAAGTCCCTCAGGCAACCATTCCGGTTTACCGGCTCCAGAGCCTTTGCCCTTGGGCGACTTGCCCTTGGCCTGCCAGGTGTTTTTGCCTTTCCCTGTCCAACTATCAGAGCCCTTGGAGTTCCAACCGCCTTTACCTTTGCCATTCTTCCCCTTCCAGGGCGCATTCTCGCTGTAAGGACCCGGGCGCCCGCCACGGCCATTAGCATTCTTGCCCTTACCATCCAAATCACCCATAAGCAGAAGAGCTACAATTAGGTCATAATCGTGAAGGATAGCCCCGATCGCGGCATCAAGCGGGAGAGTGCCTGAAGCATCTGCCCGGATATCCTCACCTGCCTCCGACAACTTGGAGAAGGCAAGCTTGTCAGCCCGCAAGATCTGACGAAGAGACACCTTCCTGTAACCAGGCTGAGCGGGCTTGGTCAAATACCTGAACAAGGAAGAAACATAAGCTTCATGTCTTTCCCAACTGATCAAGCGAGCAAATGCGTAAGCCACTCCTCTGCGGCGCAGGGCATTAAGGACCTGCAAAGAGCCCTCAATGTCACGATCATCCATACCAGCAGCCTCCGTAACCTTCAGCTTACCGCCTTCCAAGGAAAGACTGGTGGTCAAAGGCTTAACGTTCTGAACCTCATCCTCGCGGCTATGACACTTCTCTGGACCAATGTACTTCAGGCAGCGACTCTCCCACTGCTGAACGGCCATGTCAAGTAATGCATGACTCGGCTCAAGCTGTCCAGTGAGCGAAACTCCGGCGAGCTGAGTCCGAAGCTGATCCATGCGAGCATTCCGCTCGGCTACCCCCACCTTTTTAGGGGAAGCGTGTTCAGCAGGTTCTGCCAGATCCTTCAAAGAAGCCACTAGCATGGTCTGAGCTTCCAAGATACGCCTTCTCGCCCACCGTGATGCCTACCAACATGGCCTCGCTCCACGTGTCAAACTCAGTCTGAGATAGCACCTGTCCCGGTTGTCCGACACAAAAGGCCAGCTGGGCCAAAGTGGTGACCCCTTTACCTTTCAAAGCATCCACTACTCGCTTGGCAAGCGAGATTTCATCCGCTCGCTGCACAAAGAAAGGCGCCGAATCTACGGAACTCGTCATGGCTAAGTACCTGGCAACCGAAAAGGCTAGCGAGGACGCAGCTCTCACAATGCACACCGAGCACTATACTAGGACAGCTGTTGGCTTTTCGAGCAGGCTAAGAAATCAAACTGCGCTCCGTGGGAAACACTTGGCACATTGCGGGTGCGCTTGCGCCCGAGCCATAGGAATGCGCCGATAATAATCGCCAAAAGCTCGGCCACACAAAAACATTGCCGACCCCAAAGTCGTGCGATGCAGGACCTGGCTAGTCGGATGAGCCCAGAAAGATTGTTCCTCCGGGGCTTCTTCATCAGAGTCTGAAACATCAGAAACCACAGCCAAAGCCTCATCTTGGTCATCTTCCACCGCCGTCTGCAGGACTTCCGAGTCCTGTGGAAAAGCAGCCGCCTGCAGGATGGACTCCCGAGTCCAACCTGATGAGAAATGACCCGAACGAGTCTGGTCCGGCAGGAACTTACCCGTCGCCACTGCATCCAGTACGACAACGTACCCACGTAGTGCTGCGCTCTGCAACTCACGCCCATAAACTGCATCACTGCCAGTCGCTGCATCCGCGTGATGGCCTAGAACTCGCTTGGTCTCGCGAAGCATCCCGAATTTGCTACACCAAACAAGTGAAGTAACCTTCAATGAGTGCGAACTGACGGCCTGCTCCGTCGAGGGACGTGGCAGTAGATACCTCAGCCACCTGGTGATCTCGCTGCTAGACAACGGGTCTGAAGACCAAGATCCATCCGGCAGAGGTGCCGGCAAGAATGGGACATCAGCCTGATCGTTCGGCAAGCCAGCCTCAGCCCTAATGTCCAGGAGGAGTTGACCAAAAGGCGTTTTAGCAATACCCTGGCCGGGAATCACCAGAGGCAGTATGCGGCGTCGTTGAGTGTCCAGCCTAGACGTCTTGTGTTCAAGCGTCCCTAGTTCAATGAAGCCCGAACTCCAGTCTTCGTTGCGCACGTCTATCAAGATACTTTTGACACACCGGATGTCCGATGCTCGCGCCCTCGCGTAGAGCATAGCAAGGAAATGTGCCGCCCCGCATCTATCAATGACAGAAATATCGCGATCACAACAGATCGCGTGCAACTGGAGAACTTCGGACACCTTGAGGGGTGACGCCGGGCACCACGGGTTTTTAGTCTGTAGCGCCTTCTTCACCACACCATGAATTCGAGGACTGCTGAAGACCTCTAGTTGAACACGTAGTCCCAAGGTATAATAACTCCACTTGATAGCACGCAGACTACTGTCCAGTGTGGTGGCCGCGGTCTTAGGCATCTTGAGGACACAATGGATGAAAGACCACAAGACTTTTTCCGCAAAAGGCGGAGTATGACTTGCTTTCAAAAGCCACTCGCAAAAAGTACGAACCGGACCCACATGTTTCAAGATGGTGTTCGGTGATTTCCCTGCCAAAACTGCCTGAACAGAATCCGGGCCGTCCTCCTCGTCATCCGCCATCAAAGTACACAGGTCAAAGAAACTCGAAAAGGCATGAAGTAATGTGAGGACCCGGCGGTACGCCTCGTCACGACGATCCGCGGCCCTAGGCCCTCTTTTTGCCTTGACTGCACGAGTCCATGCCTGACAATGAGATCCACTCGTCACCGGATTCCCGGAATCTGAAGGCTGTGCTGCCGTCTGAGGAACAGACGACGCCGGGACCACTCCCTGATAAGGCAAGTTCAAGCCCTGAGGGAAAGCCGCCTTCAATGGATCGAATATGCACAGCATAGCCGGCTGTTCCCAAGGCTGCCGAGGCAGCGACGACCGAGCATGAGTGATGCTTCGCATGAACACTTCATTCTCACTCGCTCTAGGGTCGTGGCCAGACATCGCAAGAAACCCTGGCAGGAACGACGCCCCACCAAACCGGTCAAAACTTGAACCGACAGTACGTGAACAACAAGTTGCCAACAAGGAAACTACTCCGCTGGGAATCTCCCCTCGCAGCATACACGAAGCGTAGCAGACACCACTCAGGTCTGACCCCCCCGAGGCGGGACAGATGGCACAACTTTTCATGTCGCGATTCCCGACGGTCTGCCACTCCCTCGTGGTTCATAAGGATAGTATCCACCACCTCTGGTGTGAGCAATGCCAGCAAAACCAAACTAGCAAGCTATAGAGCGCCAATAGATGACTCAGCACAACATTGGCATTAGCTTACAATAACAACAATGCTCACATCTGCAGGGATAATGCCGCTCAACACGGCCACCCTACTGCGATTCCTCTCATAATCGCGTGTTTTGGGGAGATCAAAAAGTGATCCCCCGACCTGACCGAGCCAGCGTCCCGGCAACAGATCTGCATCATTTCGTTCCCCCCCTCAGAGGGGGTGCCCCGTGGCAACTCGCACTCTACGAGGATAATCGCACCACCCAGGGCTTTAGCCCGACTCGCGCATTTTGTCGCTGCACTTTCCAGTGCATCTCGCGACAGTCCGACCAATGAACCTCGTGCCGAAAAGCCGAAGCAGGGAATTCCCTGATCGCGATAATCGTTCACTGCGATCTCCCCTATCTCCGCCACGCCGACTAAAGATGGGAAAGAGGTACCATGAGCCATGATAGCAGAGTGTTCCGAGTTCGGATTGCGGATATAGCTTGGCCCGCGCAATTCGCAGGATAAGATCAAAATTCGTTGCCCAGGCACCCGAAAAATGTGAGCATCGGGTCCGACGACGCCCGCCACAGGATTCTCCCCCTCGAGGGGGCGGCCGTAAGCCCGAAAGGCAGCAAGGACCGTGGCCACTCGGGATATCACAGAGGCCGGTATCGGACCTTCAAGTCCTTCCAAGAATTCCTTGTATGCAGCCGTGTCGGGGAACTTTTCGACGACGGCCTTCCAAGGCATCTTCCACCACCACTGCAGTTTTCCTTGCTCTGCCAGTTCCCGAGCTGACAATGGTCGAGTGGGGTCTGCGCGCGCTTCATCCTCCGCCGACTTCCACAGAGCTGCGAGGTACGACGTTTCGTCGTCCGCCTCGTCCTGATCAGCCTCTTTGGCAGCCCGACGGGCGTCGGCCGCGGCCACTTCAGAAGGAGTGGCCTCCTGAATGTTGTGGTGGTCTGGATCCGTCCAAGAGGACTGACGGCCCGACCCTCGAGTCTCACCCGACCCCTGGCTGGACCGATGCCACTGGTTCCAGCGCTTGTTCCATTGGCCCTGCTTCTGCTGGCCACTGCTGGCCTCCTCCGCGCCAGGGCTGGCGATTCCAAGTAGTCTGCTGCTGAGGTACATGCACAGCAGGGGCAATCGGGGCAGGTGTCGCGGGAGGCGGCAAAGGTGGCTGCGCCGGCACCACTGGTACTTGCCTCCATTCGTATCCCGGCACTGCTGCCGGCAGCTGAGGCAATGGCGGGGGAAAAGGCGCAGCAGCTCGCGCTCCCACCGATCTTGATTCCCGGTCGCGTCTGCGATCACGGTTTCTGCTCCTCGAGCGCTCAGAGCTACTCGAGGGGGAGCGCCGACGGCGCCGACGCCTCTCACTACCGAATGGGGGCATCATCGGCCCCATCGGTCCCATTGGCCAGGGAAACATCCCCGCGGCACACACTCAGCACGTAGCTGAAACCGGGCTCCAGCCCTCCGAGACTCTGTCAAGCGCTTCGGCGCCTTATCGAACACCCAGCACCAGGCTCCTGCCTTGCTTGCTGCTCTGAATCTTTTTTTTGGGGGGGCCAAAAGGAATTGGCAGACAAACATCACGTACTAAGGTGCCTCTGCACGCACGCAACCTCTGGCGTACACACTCACATCGAAAGCGCTCTTGCGCATGTTTTCGCTCGAGGTCCCTAGCGCTGTCTCTGCACGCAGGCGTCCCGCCTGAGCATACAGAAAAACTCGCAAAACCGAAGCTAATTACGACACCATCTCTCCACATTCCGAAGCGTGGGTACAACGATCTGGGGTCCTGGCGAGTCTCGAAGTCTGTCAGGGCACTCGCGAGCATAATGACAGGGGCAACGTATGCCCGCGCGAACTAGCATCTTCGCAACCGCGCGCGTCTTGCCAACTCGCGGCGGGAGAGGCCCCGGCCGCCATACCGCAACGAAGGTGAACTCTCCAGAAATCTGCAGTTCCTCAGGGGCCATCTGCATGCCTGATTCAGCAACTGGCACGATGTTCGTAGCAGGCTCATTGGAGCTGCTCGCCTGTTGCTGTGTATTAAGTTCAACAGTCTCTGCAGAATCCGAGCTCTTCACACGCTTCTTGCCCGCCTTCCTAGAGGGCTTCTTGCGGGCTCGCCGGTCCCGTCCGTCCTTCTTTTTCTTCTTTTTGTCTGGTCGTTTCGTCTGAGCAGGGTCGTCCAGAAAATCGAAAGCTGAGCTCCACGACGACATTTCAGCTTCAGTCTCCAAAACCTCTGCCGAATTAGCAGTATCCGACATCCCCGCTGAGTTGCTGGCAATTGCCTGAGACACAACGGCTGCAAACGTAGAAAAAAAAGAGGACCTGTGCATTCCCATCCTGCCTGCATGCTGCATCGTCACATATCGCTCTTAGGCTGCAGCAAACCCTCCTGTCAGCGAAACATCGGGCTTGTTTTCTTCGGTTCGAGCCGAAGCCATGTGTCTGCAATAATACTGATTAGTATCCTGCAGGCAAATACTCGCATGCACTTGTCTTGGCCAAAACGAGCAGCGATTGCTGGGCAATGCTGCTGTGCTCTGATCGGGCAACAAAAACACCTCAGTGCAAGTTACATCTGCTAGCGATTAATTACGGGCGTCCGGCTCAGGAGACTCTCCCCGTTTGCGTTTCCTGAGAGCTGGCTCCGAGGTGGCTTCCGTTGCAATAGCTCGACCAGGATCGTCTCGTCGGGAATCTTCCCGTCTTGCTAACTCCAAGCTACGCCATAGCGTATGCCAGACTTGCGCCCACCGGCCCTGCGCGTCCACATGCCAAAAACCACCTGCGACCCTCCATGACACACAAGGAAAAACGCTCGGGCCCAACTGACGTAGCACATCTGGCTTGCTCTCTCACACTCCGAGAACAGCACAAATGATCAGCGAGTCCCCGCTCAGACTTTTATGCAGTGCGAACGAAGCGCACAGGTGACAACGTGTTGGCCACTAGCACTGGAGCTGAAAAACTCAGGTGCCTGCCATCCTGGACCAATGGCCATGCAAAGTCTCACTACGGGAGCTGAGGTTCCAGCAATCCTCGAGGAACATGCTCCGGATCAGAATTGCGGCCAGCCCGAAACTTCCAATGAAGAAATACGAACTTTTCCACTATCCTCGAGCAACAAAAGCCTTCAGGTATCTCAGAATCCGCATGTGCACGACTACAAGAGCGAAAGTAAAATGCATGATAAAATCAATGTAAAACCATGCCAACGAATACGGAAAATCGTTCGTACCCCGCCTCAGGCTGTTCCATTGGCGAATGGGCAGACTGTTCGTGAACGATTCCCAAAGTATAAAACAACAGCTTGTACGACGTTTTAAACACGCTCCAAGTGCACATGTTCTTACTAGCGTATTGGGCTTGATTTAGCCGGCTCAAGGCTTAGCTCGAGTGCTACGCAACTACGTGTAGACTGTACACTACACTGCCTACGGAGTTGTATCCACGACCTTAAGCCGAAGACACAACTGCATGCTTGACTGGCGCAAGCGGACGCCCTCGCAAGTTGTCAAGACAAAGGGCGGATTCATGATGGATCATGCGCTCTCGCGCCCAGTCGAAAAGTCAATGACGGCCTAGTTACCGCCAACGGGTGCCAAACGCACCTCAGCAGCTGAGAGCCGCTCCACGGCTCAAGGGATTGTGGCATTGCTCAGATTGGCAGCAAAATGCTGCATATCAAGATTCAAGTGATTTCAAGCCGTCCATCGCACGTTGTCAAGCTATGTACAGGATCCACCAGCAGCCTGTCAATCAATTGCGCCGTGGCACAAAGGACTGACTATGTACATGGCATCCAATGTGCCTCATGAGCATTATAAAGCAAGATCAAGCGTACGACGCAGCATCACAAGAAACTCGGCACACCCATCAAGGTTTGCATATGCGGCACGCGCGGTAGCCGCGCTCCTCGGCAACTGCCCGCGACACCTCGGTGACGCCAAGCGACTGGTTCAGCTTGCCACATGTAGCCTTATGATAAGCATATCCTTGACTTGTCGAAATCCACACGCCGTCTGCGCTTCGGGCTTGTGGCACCCGGCGCTGCGGAATCGGGCGTGCTTTCGGAATCCTCTCGGATCTCCCACTGGCCTCGCTGTTCGATCTCAGCACATCGTTGGATGACCCTGGTCTGCCTGCATGGACCTCGTGTGCACCAGGGCTCTGGGCTCGCTCATCATCGTCCTCGATCTTCGGTCGACTCGCGGTTTTGGGCCGCGCTCCACGCACTTGTTCACCAGCCTTGGCCTTGGGCTCACTTCGGGATGTTCGGACATCAACCGCAACTCCAGACGCGATGCGCACCTGCACAGATGCTTCTGGAACATCTGTCATCCGTCGGCCACAACACATGAATGCACACATCAAGAATGCAGTGATTGCAACGCACTGGCACACCGCAACACATGTTGAAGGGTATGCTTCATACACTGCAGATGCATAGCCGACGATTTGCACCAAGGATTCAAGAATCGCATCAAGAACGGTCAAAGTCGCGTCGTCGTCTTTGGCATCATCGCCATCCTCTGCACCCAGGCTTCCAGTTGCCTGCATGGCAATCAAGATAACACTAAGGGTGCGGGCGGTGTTTGCCGTGGCATCACCCTTTGCGATCTACAGATCCTTGCACACATTGCGAATGGCCTGGACATTGTGTTCTGTGCTCAAGATTGCATCTCCAACCCTAGCATAACCATTTCGGGAATCTCTAAACCCAATCAGGCCAAGCAGAAACTCCGTGCGCTGCACGCCAAGGAGCTTCGTGCCAATGTCCGCGACATTGGTTCGCGTGGGTGCCGGCAGCACCTCCAGCAATCCTTCCGCAACCCGTTGTTGCGTCCATAGCAACTTCACATCAAGATGGCGCACACGCCCGACCCCGGCGCGTTGAAGGATCGCGCGGGCAGCGGAATTGTCAATCATCAAGAGTGGTGGTGTCGTTGGCTCTGGAGACACAAACCGCATCATGCTTGCAACAAGGGTTCCATCTATCGCGGCTGACACCGCGGCACCAAACTCGGATTCCGCACTGGAGAGTGCGATAGACTTTTGCGTTTTGGACGCCGCATGGATAAACTTGCTGTTGCAAAGAATCACAGACGACGAGACAGAGCGTCGGGTGGATCGGCATCCACCCCAGTCAGCATCACTAAACGTCTCGATGACATTGATCCCTGGGCGATGCACTTGCACACCGTGTCCGATGCCTCCGGCCGTAAGACATGCACAGTACCCTTCAGTGGCACTCAAGTAACCGACCAAATGCCGCAGGATTGCCCATGCCCCAACGGTCGGGGACGACATAAAGCCTGACAAGTGGCGGATGCTGTGCATAGCATGCGGGAGGTCTGATTGCAGGTAAAGCAACACTCCAACGGCTGATCGAAAGCGAAATGCCTGATCCTGGGACAATGGTGCATCGTCCTCCTTCTCCGTGGGCAACCGCCCGGACGGGAGAGGTGATTTTCGGTGCTTGGGATGGCCGCACAAAGATTTCAACTTTTCCAAGTGTTTTGGGCTCACCTCAATCAGCAACTCTGTGCTCGACAAAAGATAATGCCGCTTCTTAAGAAAATGAACCTCTTGGCCTGGCACCGAAATCAAATTCACAGTCACTTTGTAATCCCTTTCAAGATGATCGGTCATGCACTTGATCACACTTGCGGGTCCTGTGCCAAGCAAATCATCGACGTGCACAAGTCCCCCGCCTCCGCCGTCCTCAGGCTGGAACCGGAACAGCGATGGCACCTCTTGCATCAGCTCGACACGGCTTCCGACTTTCAGCGCATCGGTGAACTGGTAGAACCAGGTCTGGCTCCCTTCCCGCTGGCCCGGAAGGAGCCTGAGAAGCTTGAAATACAAGCGTTCACCATTGATCATGACACTTGTGCATGTGTCCTCTGCCTGCGGGCAATTCAAGTAAGCATCCGTAACATCTAATGATACCAACTGCCAACCGTTATGGTAGTTGTCAATGAAGACACATGGGATGATCTTGCTTTGCAAAGCATTCGATGCAGGGGAAAACAGATCGGTACGGCCTGGGCACAAAAATGCAAAATCACGTGCCACAAGCCTGGCTCGCCGGAGCCAGTATGTGCAACCTGCAATGGTCTTGCAGCGCCATGTCACCACAAAACGGGTGGTCAAGTGCTTGTGCTCTGGCAACGCTCAAGAGCAGGGATCCCAAGGAGACGATCAACCTCAAACTGCATTGCAACTGCATCTACATGTGCAAGCTGCTCAGCGCTCAGCTCTGGCTCATGCTCACTCCAAGGGATCAACAAGCACTCAGGAATGCTTGACTCCGGCCGCGTGTCATCATGGGCCCCATCGGCCTCCGCGGCATAATCAAAATCCTCTAAAATTTCACCCTCAAATTCAAAATCATTCTCCTCGTGGTTGTGGTACATGTCGACACCTTCAAACGTCACAGCGTCAAGACGAAGCCGTTTGCGTGGCTCGTTTGCACTCGGCTCAGCAGCCCTGGTAGGCACACGTACAGCCGCTGGCTCAGACGAAGAAGCAGGATCGGACGATCCCGTGGCACGATCAGCATTTGGCCCCTCGGCTAACACCTCAGCGTCCGGCACTACAGCCAGAGGCGAACTCACAACCTCTGCATCGGAAGGTGCTGGCTGCAATGGCGTGACAGGTCCACTGTCCTCCTGCATGGGCGTCGGTGGCTCTGGCACAAAATCACTTCTGATGGCTGGTGGTGGCACAAGTTCACTCAGCGGTGCATTGTCAGGAAGAACATAGCCAGGATACGGAAGTGGATCCGCACCGGCCGGGACACTTTCATCTGGCTGTGGCTCTGGAGGTGCTTGTTGTGCATCACGTGTTTTCTGCGGCCTGCACTGTCCAACTTGGCCCGCAAGAAAAGCTGCCTGGGAATAGGGATGATCACGCAGGCGCTTGGCAAAATCAGCACTCCTCAAGTAAGTTTGTGGTAAGCGACGAATCGACCTGCAAGCAAGAAAATGTCCCGAAGCAGTGAAGACTATGTGGCCGTCGCTACACCCAAGTTTTCCCAACCACAAACCTATGCCCCATCGGGGTTGTCCCTTCACAGCACTTTTAACTCTTCCATAAACTGTCTCACCAATGCACACAAGCTTGCCCTGATAGGGCCGCCCACATGCCAGCTCGAACGGAGTCTGGCCTTGCGATCTGGTGAACCGCTGCTGAATGAAACTTGCATGCCGCCATGCCCATGCGTGCATTGCATCCAACGATGCCACCTTGACACCTGCACGGGACTCAAACTCAGAAAGCAACGTGTTGGTCAGCTGTCGAAGGGTCTCGACCGCAGGTTCGGCCGCATTGGCCGCATGATCATCAGGCTCACTCTGCTCAAGATGGGTCCGCAATCCAAGTCGAAGACGCTGGGCCTGCACAAGCTTTTGCAACGACAAACACACCGGCTCTGGGTCACTGCGCAGTGTGACCTCGCTGTGGCCTAAAGTCGCGATCCACCTTGTAAGCTCTGATGTCATGTACCTGAGCTGCAGATTGCCGCCCTTGGCCGGAACAGGCCAAGCTTGATTTGCACCGGTAAAATTGCAAGACGCAACTAGGCACACGAGCTTCTGTTCAGGGGTCTCAGGCCGACTCGTGTAAGCAAAATCAAAACAAATTGTCGCATGCTCACGGTCGCCAACAGGGTGCCTCTCATGTCTATCAGAACGGGCACGACGCTGAACACATTCAGCGCACCATGCTTGGAATGGCATGTGCGTCAGCGAATGCTTGCGCACTTCATCCTGGGATGGCTCTCGCACTGGCGCCTGCTCACGAGGCAGCTGCACATCAGCCGGAAGGTTGGCCCACAGAAAATCGTTTCGCGCAAGAAACTCCTTGATCCTCTTAAGAACTGTCGCCTTACCACCCGACTTACCTATCCCAAGACTCTGTGCCGCGGCTCGCAACGTGGCGAGGGTGCAATCAAGGGTCAACTCAGTGCCATCAACGACAACAGGTTTCTCACCGGGCGCGTTACCCGCTGCACCGGGAGACTCGCCTTCATCTGCATCTCCTCCGTTGGCTCCCAAGCCAACGCCGCCTGCATCAATGTTGACATCCAAGTCCATGGCAGCATCGGGAGACGGGTCACCGTCTGACTCCTCTGGCACTGGCACTGCCACAAGCGGGTGATCAGAGTGCTCAGGGAACAACTGGCGAACATCAAGCCGGTACGTGGAACCAATCGTGATGGTCTCATACATCTTGGGCCTTGGAAATGCAGCCTCGAACCTAACCTCAAAATCATCCAAAGTTGACAGATCCTCGTTCAGCGTATGCAAAAGCCAGCCACGCGGGCTGTTGTGCAATGTGGTCCTGAAAGCAATCGGCAGGCTAGGGAAAGCCAATGTGCAATCAACGTAGCACAGGCTTGTGCACTTGTTTGCCACCAGACCTGTGTCAATCTGCACAAACGGCGCTTTGAGCGACAACCAAGGGCCATGCAATGTCACAGTCAATGCATTCACGTGAAAATCGCCCTGAGGTGTACTGGACTGCGATTGTGGTGCATGAGGTTCGCAAGAACTGGTCTGCGATTGTGGTGCATGAGGTTCGCCAGAACTGGTTTGCGATTGTGGTGCATGATGTTCACCGGGGCTTGCTGGCGGATGCCCCGCCTGCCCCGCCTGCGGTGCATCGCTCTGCATGACTCTGATGCTACCCCTGACACACAGGGAGTTGTGCTTCATGAACACGGGGACCCCATAGGCTTCATCTCCCTCACGGAAAAGCTTCAGCTCATTGTTCACCCGGCCAACCGTAAACCCTTGGCAGTAAAGCTTGCCTAAGCTCAACAAGGGGGTAGTCACGGGGCCTATCAACCAGGTTTCCGTTATGGTCAAGGGTCCAAGGTCAAGCTTTGCATTGCGCACCGACGTAGGAGAAATCACATTCCCCTGTGCATCACGGAACGTTGCTTGCAATGGCGGCGCTGAGGTCCCGGTGGAACCAAAGGCCGCAGGAAGGCACGAGTGATCGGCCCCACTGTCAAGCACAATCTCGATGTCCTGATGGATTGCACACACCTGATGCTCTGGAGCGAAAGTCACAACACTCAAGGATCCATTCGCAAACGTCCATTCCCCCTCACTGTCACTGTAGCTCATGTCATACATTGGGGCAGCTGGCTCAAAGTTGCGCACAAGAGAATCAGGCACAGTCATGGCAGGGAGTGTGGCATGCACAAGATCAATGAATTCACTCGGGAAAGGCTCGAGTGGCACCAAGTCCGGTTCGGGCGCGGACGTCGCCTCGCTCGGGTAGGGCTCGAGCAGCACCGGGTCCGGTCTGGGCGCGGACATCGCCTCACTCGGGTTCGGCTCGAGTAGCACCTCATCGCTCGGGTATGGCTCGAGCAGCACCTGGTCCGGTCTCGGCGCGGACATCGCCTGGGTGATCATGTGAATGCCTCCACTGCCGCTGCCTGTGCCACTGCCAACTGCACTCAAATCAATCTCAATGCGACGCACTGCTGTGGTGGCCTGGGACGCTGCCTGGGACGCTGACGGCCCCACGGTGGATGCTGCAGCTTCCGACGGAGTCGGATTGTTGACAACCTGATGCACATTCGCCTGACCTTTGCTGCGCCAACACTCTGCGGAATAATGGCCTTTGCGACCGCAGTTGTAGCACTCCACCTGTGACTTATCGACTTTGCCCTTGCCTTTGCCTTTGTCCTTGCCGGGCTGCTTGCCACCTTTGCCTTGATCCTTGCCTTTGCCACCTTTCGGCTTGCCTCCATGGGGAGGGAGTCTGGGCATGCTGACCTTTCTTGCCGCCTTTGCCTTTGCCTTTGTCCTTGCCTTGCGGTTTGCCACCTTTGCCCTTGGGTTTGCCCCACTGCACGGCATCAATTTCCATCTGCGTTGCCTCATCATGCCTCTGAGCTGTGGCCTCGCGGACCGTCCCAAAGTAAGAAACAGACTGCCACTTGAAATGCTGACGCTCGATCCTCAAGCTTGCCTCTCGCACCTGAGTGTAAGTGGCATCCTCAGGCAAGCTGGCATATATCTGATTCTTTGTGTTGGCAGGCAAACATCGCAGAAGAAGTGCAGTTTTCACGCTACCCTGAAGGGTCTCTGAAGCTGACTGTTCATAAGAAGTGAAAACCCGCTCCAAATCAAGAATCTGCGGAAGCAAGGCCTCGGAGGGCTTGAAAGAAGGCACCTGGGTGATCGCTGTCAAGATGCCCAAGCTGCGCCCCTGAGAGCGCGGGGCAAAGAGGCTCATCAACTGACGCAAAGCTTCCAAACCGTTTCCACTCTCGGTCTGTCGCACAATCATGTAACCTCTGCCACGAATGAGGGCAGCCAAAAGCGAATACAGCTGACGTGACCTGGCTTGCTGTGCAATGGTGCCCTGGCCCTTTGCTATCACTGAACCAGGGTTTGCCTCCAAAGCTTCAAGGTCGGGCCCATAGCCCGGATCAAGAGCTGAAAGGTACTGCTGAAAACTCCAAAACCAACCTGGCCAAGACGTGTGCTCCTGCTCTCTAGTGCTAGCTGCAAAGACCTCAGGCTTAGGCAACACACGCAACATACATGTCCTTGCCAGTCAAGGTTGGCGGGCCGTCCCGAGAGGACGTCGCCGCCGCTGCCGCTGCTGCTGCTGCATCTGATGCTGCACGGGTTGCTTCAGCCAACTGTTCAAACAAAGCATTCAGCTGGGCAGGGCCTAACACTATCTGACCTTGTGAAGGTGAGGCAGCTGGGCTCGCAAGGAAGGGATTATTGGGCATCGGCTGGGGAAGCTGTGGGCCTACAGCCGCTTCAAGCTCTGGCAGATCATCATCAATGTCATCCACCGGCACATGTGCAGCCTGTGCACCTTGCTGAGCCATGGCACTACAGCCTGGCTTGTGAGCCGGCGTCTGCAGGCTACCCGCCGCGCTTAACGCCTAAAGTTGCACAATCAAAGACCTTGGTTCCTGAACGGATCTCGCAACGCAAAACCCAGAAACCAAAGACGTGTCGTGATGTTGTTGCTTGTCACTACCTCTCTGTGTTGGGGATTGGGTCCAGTCCCCGAACCACGGCACCAGGAGATTCCAGAAATCCTGGCTGTACCGCGGCTCCGCTACCATACGAACTTTTCCACTATCCTCGAGCAACAAAAGCCTTCAGGTATCTCAGAATCCGCATGTGCACGACTACAAGAGCGAAAGTAAAATGCATGATAAAATCAATGTAAAACCATGCCAACGAATACGGGAAAATCGTTCGTAAGAAAGCAAGAAGCGAGCATCTGCTGAGACTCCAACCGCGACACGCGATCGAAAAGGCGGTCAGCAAGCATGAGCTGCATTCTATGCAGCCGACTGATCTGGATCTGTAACCCACGCATGTGGTGTAACACAAAGCTCTCAGTGGATGTAAACGAATCCGAGGGTGTCGGCGCCTCTGCTTCTCCGCCGGTCACTTCAGGTGATTGCATACTCCTGAAACACAGGCCAGTACTTCGGTCACACACCGAAAAAGCAACAAAGCTCCAGCTAAGTAGGCAACCGCGAGATCACTCTGCAAGTTGAGCAGGATACTGTAAGCTCAAAGCTCAAGACACACTCAAGCAGAAGATTCACTTCATCAAGACCTCCCAGCGAGAGACTAAGGCACAAGCATCCGGCCCGCCCCCCTATTTCAAATAAAACTCTCGCCCGATTCAGGGCTTCCTGCCCCTTCGAGAGGTCAAGCTGCAACGGACGAATGTATTCTTCAACTGGTTTACAGCATGTACAAATGAGTTCAATAAAATGGGCAGTGTAAAAGGAAAGCCCTAAAACAACAAATCAAAATTGGACTTAGTTCTCTAAGTCATTTTGTCATGTTGTTTTTCTTTGAACAATGAAGCTCTATCTTCTGCAAGTGTTCAAAGAACGAAACTTATTGTCGGAATGTGCTGACATAGACTATTCTCGGAATGTGCTGACATTCCAGGGTGGGTCGGGTGGGCTAAAGAAAACGACATGAGCCACGGCCTGAGCCTGACGTGGCTACCCATTCGAGAGTACGACTCAGCGATACTGCGGGACTGATCCGGAAAGACAAGGATTGGAAATCACTCAAGAAATTCAAGCAGAAAGCAAAACTAAAATCTGGTTGAGAAAATTTTCTTCTTTCAAACAAAGCGCACGGGATCCGCCTAGGATCCAAGTCCTCAGCTAAGAACACCCCCCCCGCCCGTCAGCTAGCTCCGGACAGATCTACAGTATCTACAGGGTGAAACCCGGTTTAGCCTGTCCTTCGCATAGATTCGTGGTTAGAGGTTGGGGCACTCCGTTCTTTCAAATCAGTTGTTATTTACGCAAACGTCTTTCTATAAAAGCGAATCAAATAATGTAACTTCCAAATGAATCCAAAAGGAAATACATATCTGAAAATCAAGAGCACTCGGACGACACTCGTTTTATTCGCAGCGGTTGGTAGTCTCGCGGTGCCCTTGGTAGGGCGGATGCATGTTGATGCATCCAACCCCCTTTCCCCTTCAGGGACGCACTACCAAGGAGTTTTCTCTGCCTTCCTCTTCTGAGGACGATGCCCCGAGGCATCCTGTTGCAGCACGGCCTGAGCCCTTCGTGCTGAGTCGAAGCTTTCTTTGGTCTCCCACAACTGATGCAGAAGCGAAAGAGGCAAATCCGAGTAACTGCATGCAATGCGATGTTCGTCCGAGAGGTTGGTGAAAATCTCGTTCGTGAGTTGGTCCGCGTACTGATTCTCATCGCGCGGCCTCCACCGTAGGAGGAGCTTCAAGGAAGAGCGAAGAAGCAGGTCAGACAACTGCATGTTGATCAACATGAGGGGCCACTTTGTTGATGACCCCTTCTTGAGCAATCTCGAGTTGCCCTGATTGTCTGTGTCCGCGGCGCACTCAACGTCCAATTCCTTTCTGTCCACAGAGGCGGTCAAGTATCCGAAGATGTGAAGGGCCGCCAATGTTGCCAGCAGTTCTGCTGAGCCTGATGCCCATTGTGAAATTTCTCCTCCTGATCAAACAAGTATGGTGCATCACTCGGTGTCAAGCGCAGCGAAAACCACTTAGAAGTCTTGGTGTCATCACTTAGCTCCCAACCGGCCAACACGACGAATCCGTCGGCACACTTTGCATCTGTCCTGAAGCCCGCGACCTGGTGTTTAGGCTTGCGGCAGGGGTTCACCTTAAAAGTGTATTCGTCAAGCGTTCTCTCCAAGTAAAGGAGTGTCAAGATGACAGTCTCAGGCAACTTGGCGACGGTGCTCCGGGACACCGCTGATGCCCACGCATACAGTGGAGCAAGGTGAGGCTTAATCCAAACCACTATCCTAGAAACAAACCCCAACCGGCCAAGGAACTCCCTGAAGAGTCGGACCTGAACCACGAAGCGTTTGGTTTTGGCATCTTTGATCCATGAAACGATCCAAGCTCCTCGAGAGTCCGACATGCCAACTTGCCATGATCGGTAGTCGAGCTCAAAGCCCACGAAGGGAACCTTAAAACCTCCCCGAAATTTCTTAAAGGAGAAAGGGGTCCCTAAGGCAAGGTACAAGACGAACCACATCACCAGATTTCGGAACTTATGTGCTCCAGTGAACACGCCGTGGATGTCGTCCTCGAAGCAAAGTTGATAGAACCATTCCTGAAGCATTGCTCGGGCGACTGTCCTGCCCACAAGTCCGAACAATCTGCTCCACCAAAATGAAGCGACACTCAGTCCAAATGTTCCTACAACGTTAACCCAAACGACGGTGCTTGAAGAATCTGCTTTGCATGCCATCAAGGGGTGGTCCCGACGCCTGTGTTTGACAAGCCGGTGTGCCGCACTTACGTCCGCTGAGATTCCAAAGGCAGCCTCGCGCGATCGTTTAGCAGAGCTTACGGCGTGTGCCACTTCCGCAGGGCCAGGCGTGGCCGTTTGGTTCAGCAACCGAATGCCATTGTTGATCTTCACCGCGTGGGTGCCATCATGTAGGGGACGGACGCTGCCGTCTGGCTTGGCGACCGCTCCCATCGCTGCTATACGTACCCTGTCCGCTCCATGCTCGGCCGCCAAAGCGGAGTAAGTGGTCGGGTACATCCGCCCAAGCTTCTCCTCCTCCCTGAACTTCATCTCCATCTCCTGCACGGTGAGCTTCGCGCTCTGGTATTTTTCTTTGACCGCCTCAAAAGTGCTCTCATCAAGTTTTCTCCATTTGACCTTCCGATCGAAAACCTGGGGCACCCTAGGTATGGTCTCGTCATAGCCCAATGGAACACCTTTCTCAAAGCACTCCTCGCCTTCTGTCAAGATTTTCCAGTCTGGGTCTTCCAGCAAGCGCGACGTGTGCGAGAGCAACCGAAGATAGAAAGGCTGCGGATCAGGAACTTCCAGCAAGCCTTCGTGTTTGGCTCCGTCAGTCTCGCATACAAGTGCAGCCCAGTCCTCGCGAACGCGTCGCATCGCACCTTCATCAAAAGGCGATTCCAGAATCTGCCCGGTGGCCAACTTGAGTGCCAGCAATTGGCAGTCTGGCACCTGCTCTGCGACAAACTGCTGCACCAAGCCATTCAAGCGTCTTGACAGGTCCTTTGATTGCTCTGGTAGTGATGCTCCACGGGAGGCAGGATGCCAACGCGTTGGAGAACAAAGACCATAGCCGTCAGTGATAGGCGACTCTCTCCCATCCCACTCCAGCATCAAGGGATTTCCGAAGTTGCCACAAAGCTCTGGTCTGAAGACATCGTCTGCTTGCTGGTCCAAGCCACCAGATGGCGGTTCCGATTCCGAGCTCTCCGTCGATGACAGCTCCCCGGCATCCAAGGTCCTCCCTGTCAACTGACTTGCGGAAGGGCAGTTGATTCCAAGGTCCTCAAGAAGCCGCGCATCCGATTGCTTCAGCTCCTCAGTCTTCGACACCGTGAATGCAACGGCAATCAGTCGGCGGCCCTTCCAAGGCATGGTGCAATGCAAGATGCCACGAGCATCGAAGCAGAGGCCTTCCGGGGGAATCGGCACGGCCGTCCCAAACACTTCAGAGCCTCCAAAGTTCTGAGGTGTAGCACCCTTGTCTTGTTGCATCCACAACTCGCCCCCCGAAAACTGGGTAAGAGGGATAATCAAGTTCTCGAAGCAAGCATTGCGGCTGTCCCTATGGAGGGCAGTGCACACATTGTCGTAAATGCTGATGGTGCTGAAAGGATGGAAAGGATGCATGCTCCGAACAAAACGGACCAAGCACTTGGTGGCCAGCGGGAAATCGTGGCATGCCTTCCTCAGGCCTGTCAAGCCTCCCTTGTTGTAGGCACCCGTGGAAAAAGAGCTCGGGGTGCGGCCTTCGGGGTCACGGGCTGACACTTCTTTCGGCAAAGCTTCGTACAAGCAAATGATGTCCTCGGCGCGAGGGGCCTCGTCTTTCGAAAGGATCTCACAAGCTAAAGCCTCGGCGTTGTGTGCATGTGCCTCCGACGAATCGGGGCCTGCCCCAACCTGGGGGCCTACCTCACTATCTGCCTGGGGGACTAAACCACGAGCAGCTGGGGAAACCGAAATGGAGGGAACTGCAGGGGAGGACAAGGGACTATCGGCAGTGCTAGAACGAAGACCCTCCGGTGGGCCAGCATTCCTTCCTGCGTCCCCCCTCGTGCGCAGCACCGAAGGAAGGATGGAATGCAAGAGGTGATCACACAGAGCTGCCGGCCACTCGACAGAGGTGGCCGTATTCCAATCACGACCTTGGCGACCTACCAAAGGTTTTGGATGATGGCTGCGAGGGCAGCGTGGGGGGAGCGGGCCCACGTAGCGGCCTTCAGCATCGAATGTGCGCCAAATGCTGTACGGTGGCAGCTGATGTTTCAGCCGCTCGGAATTGCAGAGGAAGCGGCTGGGTTTAGCAGTAGGTGCACCGAATGCACAACGGAAGTATGCCCAAGTTGTGGCATTATGCTGAACTTGCAAGTCGCGCACCTGAGGTAACTGCCAAAATGACGCCGGTCGCTCACCGTCCTTGGTGGCACCCAAATCCTCAGGGCTCTCAAGCACAAAGCTGCCTCCTGCGGATGCACAGGCGGATGCAGCTTCCAGACATCGCTGGAACAAGGAATTTGCCTTCTCAACCTTAATTCTATTGTCATCCGACAATGGAAAACCTGTGGGCCATGCTTCCGACCTGAGTGGGCCGGTCCTGGCCGTTTGTGCCTGGCCCGCGACATGGTTTCAAGTGGCGGACTTGCCAAGAAAATCCAATCTCCCTGGCACAAGCACTGCATAATTGAATCCCAAAACCGATCAGTCATCAAGTTAGGATCGTGAAACTCGTATCCCCTGCACTCGCTGACCCCCGACTGCAATGCAAGGTATGCCTGCACGGAGGGCAGACCGAAGCACATGATTTTGAGGCCAGCGGCTGGGGACCGTCACTCGGCTTTGTTGTTGCCTTGCGACAGCTCCTGGTGGCGAATGGCCGGATGTTCTTTGTAGCATCCCTTGACCCTGCACACGTGCGCGCGCCCACAGTTGCCCTGGCAACCCTGATTGTTGTATGCGAAACAGATATCCTTGCCATCGGGCGTCCTCCAGACTAGCTGCAGGCCTCTGAAAGCACCTTTCTCTTCGCCTTTTCCCTTTCCTTGCTTGCCTTTTCCCGTCCTGGGGTCCTTGCCTTTCCCCCCCCTTTTCACCTTTCTCCCCCCTGCATGTCCACTTTGATGGCATGGGGAAAGCGGTCAAGGTTAGGGGAGTGACAAAATGAACTTCTTTAAGCTCGGTATCCTTAGTCACGGCAGCCAAAGCATCTGACCTTCATCATTCACTAGCCTGAACGCTTCTTTCCTCAACTTGTACTCATAGCGAAGTACAATCCCCCATGGGGGACGGAAGAGTGCATTGTGGCTGCTGTCGTAGCCCGTGGCCTGCTCCAATCTGAGACCCGCGACCCGCTCGCCGAGGATGTAGTCGACGAACTTGGTGAAATCCGCCATCGTCAAGCCTTGAAGCCAAGTCTTGGATTTATACCTGGACTGCATCGCCAACCAAGAGCAACCCTCAATCTTCAAGACTCTCCGGTAAGCTTCAGAGTTTTGAGGCATCTCGACTTTCTGTTTGGTTTTCGTGATGCGCAAATGTCCGGCAGGATCAACACTAGACTGGATGGTGGCTGTCTGAGAATCTCGCTCCGAAGTGATGGTCTCAAGCTGTGCCGCAGTCGGTTCATTCTGCTCGGTCTCTTCTGCTTTCAAAGCCAAGTACTCTGCACTGGGTGTTTCGGCCTCGTTGAGCTTGCCATACGCTGCTGAAACCGCGCGCAGCAAGGCTTGCCTTTCCTGGGTCTGCAAAATCCTGGGCTGATTGAGGGCACGGGCCTCTGCCCGGAGTTCAATTTCTTTAGAGCTAATCTCTTTGGCAAGTTTCCACGCTGCCACTATGGCAGCCGTTTGCTGGCGCCCTGCAGGTGTGTCTGTTGGCACTCCAAAGTCTGTGTTCGCAGCTGTGCGCGAACCTGCACGATCATCGGCGATGGCCTGGAATCTGCGAAGTGTGCTATGCACGTTGCACACTGCATACTGTGTGGCGAGGGATGCCCCGGCCTCCTGCAAGACATATTGCAAATCGGCATCAACGCTGTTGACTCTCTCACGCATCTCTGCTTCCGTGATTGCCATCCCTGATGCGGGTACTCAGCGCTTCCCTCGAGGCCTTTGCTCTGCAGCCTACGGTCTGGCTTCCCGCTGAGCGCCCTCAGGCCTTTGCTTCAGCTTCCCAAGGTCTGAACCCTGATGCACTGCAGAGATCAGTAAATGTCGTTGCGCGCAACCAACAACAGCCTGAGCGCTCAATTCGGTACATGAAGCAGTGCATCTGTCAGTGACAAGAACTTCAAAGACGGGCGATTCAGAGCGACATGTACTTCCCTTTTGAGCATGTTCCAAAATCAGCTCGTGTCATGTGAAATCTATGCCACAGAAACCAAAGCAGGCCTGCGGTCAAGGTCAACAGCAAGGCTTAAAGGCTTAAAGGGGTCCTCAATCGCTCGAGGAAGTGGTTGCCTCCCCTGAGCTGCTATCGTCGGCCTTGTTGTCATCTGCCATCGACCTGATCCTGAGCTTGCAATCCTTACATATTGCATCGAAATCCGTGGCAGCCTTCGATCGCTGCAGCCATCAGGGTTCCTAAGGACGACAGACTTTCTTGGACGCTGGAAGGTCGGCGGAGGTGGTTCTGCCGACTACACAAGGACGGCTCGGCAGATAGTGCATCGCATCCAGGAGCAGGTTGCAGAGACTGTCTTGCTTGGAAGAGAGCGGGGCTACGTGGAGGCTGATGCTTTGGATGCATTGCAAAGTTTCGCGGAAGAGCGAGGCGAGATTGGTGCTGTGGTGCCGCCGCTCCGAAAGGGGAGGCCTTTGTATTTCATCAGTGTAAGTAAGAAAGACAGGATTCCGCAGACTGCATGTGAATCACGCGTGCTATGTAAAGCCCTTCAAGTGCCAAGACGTCGTATATCCTGATCAGGAAGTAAGAATCCACCCCTTTGTTGCCGCAGGTTTCCCAATCTTCTGAAGCTTGCAAAACCAAGAAATCTCTTTGTCCTTGATCTCTGACCAAATCTCATGTCCCTTTGAGCCAATCCATACCAGAGAAACTAGCCTTGCGGGATATGAAGACCTGCACCATGTTGATCCTTCGATCTGGACCCGTCGTCTTTGTCTTCCAAAGTTTGCAAGACAGACCTTCTATAGTGAGCCGCATGCTCTCTGGCCTCATGCACTGAGCGTCATCGGACCTCATGCTTCCCCAAAGCATCAGTAGTGCAACAAAAGCCAAAGCCCTTGCATATCTTGCTCTATCTTCGTCAAACACGTAAAGCTCAAGTGAAAGCGCCATCGCTACAGTAGGCTGTGCCGCCTGGTGCCACATCGGCCCCTTCTCCACCAGCTCAGCAGTGACATTCTTGCTGTATGACACCCACGTAGGATCTCTTGACAGCATATCACTTTCCCCTACACGTCCGGCCTGTTCCAGAACAGAAAGCGCCGCTGCAAAAGAATCTATGGTCGTCTTGCCAGCGCTGCCCGTAGTCGCAATCGGTGGCAACATAACGGTTGCAGAGCTTAAGTGGCATACCGTGACAACACGAAACGCTGCAAATCTTCTGGTTGACAATGTCCAAAGCGATGGAAATAAAGGTCGAACACCTCCAGCACAGCGGCCACCAGCGATTCTGCGGAGTCGGTTTTGGCCTTAACACACAGTTCCTGGCGGGTCAAAATTCATGTGCGCCCAAAAGCGGAGCGCAGTAAGTTTTCGGTGTTCTGAAACCTGGGTTTCACTCTTTAGGGCCACCAGAGTTCGACCCTGGGTTCGAAAACTTAACGTTTGAACTCTAGGGTTGGGAACTCTGTGTTCAAACCTGAGTTGGTGAGACTTTGGGGCCGCAAGAGTCTCTGGGTTTGGAAACTCTATGTTCAAACTCGAGGTTCGGAAACTCTATGTTCAAACCCTGGGTTCAAACTCTTCGCCTTTAGAGTTGAACTCAAGGTTTAACTCCAGTTCCAAAAGTTTGGAGTTGAGTTCAATTTGGACTTCAAGACTCCGGCTTGAGTCTCCCTTTTAAGCCCCCCTGTAAGCCTCTTTAAAGCTCCCTTCAAGTCCCCCTTTAAGTCCTCTTTTCGTACCTTTAAGTCCCCTTTAAGTCTCCCTTTAAGTCCCCTTTAAGTCCCCCTTAAGTTCCCCTTTAAGTCCCCCTTTAAGCCTCCTGGAAGCCCCTTTAAGCTTCCCTTTAAGCCTCCCACGCAATCACATACAGGCACGAAGAAGAAGAAGCCACACGAAATCGTTTTATGGGGGGTTTTTGGGAAGAAAATAAAATGAGAAAAGCAGACTTAGCAAAACAAAACACAATTACAAGCTCCCACGCAATCACACACACACAAAACAAAGAAGAAGCCACACGAATCGTTTGATGGGGGGTTTTTGCGAAGAAAATAAAATGAGAAAAGCAGACTTTACGGTTTTGCAAAAAAATACAATGTAGCACCCATACTTTGAAGCTTCGAAACTCCTCTTTTATCCCGCCTTCAAATCCCTTTCAAGTCCCCTTCCAAAGCCTCCCTTAAGTCCTTTAAAGCCCCCTTTAAAGCTCCCTTCAAAGCCCCTTAAAGCCCTCCTTTACTGGGGAGGCCCATTGTGGCGAAGCCAGAATTGCTTTCGTTTCGCGGGCCCAGAAACGGGGTTGTCCGCAGCATCATTTCTTGGGCTTATCTTGCTTCACTGGAGATCAGTGTCAGTTTGCAATGTCATCGAGGTATCTTGAGGATCTTTTCAAGCCAATCGAGATCTTTGACGTTTATTAGATGCATCGCTGCGATACGATCATCGAAGCTCCTGTCTAGGATTGCCAAGATCTATGGCTCTATGGAGTTAGCAATAGCCAATAGCTTGCAAGATCATCGAAGCTTGTTGAAGCCTTTTTCTAGCTCCAGCAAGTGGACTTGGAGCCAGCTCCGGCTTAGAATTCTCTGTAGTAAAGAAAGAAGAAAGGCAGCCCACGTGTTCGTTCAGGTCCGAGGCTTCTGGTGACCCCTTTAATACATCCGGGCCACAAACGTGTGGCTTTGAAGCCACATAAGCCACAAACGTGTGGTTTTGAAGCCACATCAAGGCCACTTAACGTGTGGTTCTCAAGCCACATCAACGTGTGGTTTTGAGGCCACATCATCTGAGCGGTCACAAGGTCCCGCTTTTTGCGAGGAGTCCCAACCGGGTCCCACCGGGTCCATCCAAGTCCCACCTTGCGTCACCGAATCCCGTTTTTTTGCTCGCCGGGTCTTATCCCGGTGTTACCGGGTCCCATGTTTCCCACACAAGAAGTTTCATCTGGTTGTCACGTGTCCCATACTTTGCTAGCCAGATCGAATCCGGGTTCCACCGGGTTCCATCCGGGTCCCACCTGGGTCCACCTGGGTCCCATTTTTCTAGGGCCGGGTCCCACACCCCGTTTAGGTTTTAAAAGTTTAAATGAACGGCGAGGCGGGACCCATGCACGGTTTTTGTGCATGGAGCTGCCTTTAGCATTGTAGTCCAGGTCATGTCCCAAACGGTGTCAACACTTCTTCAGTGAAAGCATGCATGAATCAAAGCATGCTCTTGCGAAGCTCGCACTGCTTCAGCAGTTGAGGCACTCTCGTTTGCCGTGTGCTTTCCAAAGGTGGAGGAACGAGATAGTGCAAGCTGCAGGAACTACAAGACCAGAAGAGTGCAGAGACTACGGTAAGATTGTAAGCTCCGAACCCACGAGGGAGGCTTTGGAAGGCTTTAGTTTCTGTCTCGAAACCCCACAAATAACGGTTCGAGAGGCTTTGCACTGTTGGTGAAAATCGCAAGCTTCGCGACTCCAAATGTAGGGCTGGAAAAGTCCAGCAATTCTGGCTTCGCTTGAGCGGGCCTCCCCTGTGCCCGTTTCTTTCATGTTGATTTAATGTACTTCCATAAGAAAGCAAGGCTTGGAAGCTTTAATTCTGAAAGCTTGTTTTTTTCCAAGCTGGACGCGCGCCTGTGTGCCACAGTCGCCTTGTTGTGTAGCAGTTAGGCGGACGTGCCTCAAGCAGAAGAATTCGCGACCCCCCAAAATGGAGCCGTTTGGCGGCCCATTTTTGGGGTCGGGGTTCCAAGCCTCCAACTCATGCTCAAACTATAGGTTTAATGAGGCCGGGCGCATGTCGCAGCCCTGTTTTCGGGGCCGCGAAACGGCCCCATTTTTGGGGTCGCAAATCGCAAATGTTCGGGGCCAACCAGCTGGATCTCGGGCGTGCGCCTGCCTGCCTTTGTTCCCGCAGTTTTGGGCATCATGCAGACGCAAGATTGAAAAGCTAGAAGTCTTGTCCAAAGCAGCTGCACGCTCACCTTAAATGCCACAACCAGCGGATTTGCAACTGGGGAGGTCCATTGTGGCGAAGCCAGAATTGCTTTCGTTTCGCGGGCCCAGAAACGGGGTCGTCCGCAGCATCATTTCTTGGGCTCATCCTGCTTCTATATCCACTGGAGATCAGTGTCAGTTTGCAATGTCATCGAGGTATCTCGAGGATCTTTTTAAGCCAATCGAGATCTTTGACGTTTATTAGGATGCATCGCTGCGACACGATCATCGAAGCTCCTGTCTAGGATTGCCAAGATCTATGGCTCTATGGAGTCAGCAATAGCCAATAGCTTGCAAGATCATCGAAGCTTGTTGAAGCCTTTTTCTAGCTCCAGCAAGTGGACTTGGAGCCAGCTCCGGCTTAGAATTCTCTGTAGTAAAGAAAGAAGAAAGGCAGCCCACGTGTTCGTTCAGGTCCGAGGCTTCTGGTGACCCCTTTAATACATCCGGGCCACAAACGTGTGGCTTTGAAGCCACATAAGCCACAAACGTGTGGTTTTGAAGCCACATCAAGGCCACTTAACGTGTGGTTCTCAAGCCACATCAACGTGTGGTTTTGAGGCCACATCATCTGAGCGGTCACAAGGTCCCGCTTTTTGCGAGGAGTCCCAACCGGGTCCCACCGGGCCCATCCAAGTCCCACCTTCTGCGTCACCGAATCCCGTTTTTTTGCTCGTGAAAGGCGCATCTTGCGAGAAGCTGGGATTTGCAGAGTTTCGGGCAGGATCTGCAAGGCAGGATTTGGGG